ACACACACACACACACACACACACACACACACGAAGATTTGACCCCCCCACAACTCAATTTTTATATACCTATGCATAGTGTTTTTGAGTTATGTTGGTTTTTAAATATTAAATATGAGACTCCTCTGTCCTCTGGCAATCTTCTTGAATTGTGTTTCTGTCAGCAAGCTCCTTCAGGCTGGACTGCGGCCCATAGAGAATGGAATAGCCAAAGTAAAGCTGTGAATGCCAAAACTGCTAATTGCTGGAACCATAATTACAGAATTACATGAGTAGCAGGAAGATGGTGGTAAGTGGCTCTTTGGGCCCCCGATGTAGGTGGGAACGAAAGCTGGGACGCACCACTTTTGCGAGGGTGGAGGTATCCGAAAATCCTGAGGCCGTAGTTGGTCCACATGGGTGACACTGCCAGCTTTTTCACTGTGATTCGGGACTGTGGGGGGGAAACAGCCTGAAATCACCTGACTATTACAAACATGAAAAACTGATTATACATGAATGGATGCATCAGCTAAATTGAACACACAATCAAGCCATGTCAACCATAATATTCCTATATCTGGTCACATGCAGAAAAAAACTACCAACAGCAGGAGGGAAAAAAACATAATATGTATTACAATATGCCATGTTTATCTTTACATGGGTACATTTGGCACGGTTTGAAAAAAAACTTTGAGGGAGGTACAGAGAGCATAGATGGGTCTCAGAAGACACTGTTGTAAGATCATACAGGTAAGCATAAACGTACCTCTACAGCCACTTCACCACAGAAGACAAATCTGATACACATTTGTGCATGTTGGATAAGCTCCCACAGTTTACCCTTGTTTGTTTCTCTTGAAGATCAGATAACACTAAAGGCTAATTCATACTTCACTTTTCCACATGAGCTTACAGTTGCAGACGAGGGGACGTGATGTAAACATCGTCATCAGGGGCTGGAGGCGGACGGTGCGCGCAAAGCCCAGATTTTTTATATCTAGCGGAAACCATGTACGTCGACTGCGTCAAGATCATTGACTAGATATATCCAGTAGGTGGCGTGTGTGTAAACTTTGTCCTTTCAACTTCTTCTGCTCAAAATAATAAATATCAATAGCTCCGGAAACCTTTTCTCCTCTATATTTGTTCAAGATTAATGCTATATTGCTACAGACCCCCTAACAGGTCAGGGTGGGAGAATATTTTTTGGAAAAGTTGAACATGAAGTGCACACGCAGACATTATTTAGGTTTATCCTTGCCACCACAGTGCAGCAAATAGCAAGTGAGCAAGTGTAGTGGGATCGGAAAACTATTAAAAAAATATATATTTTCCCAACCTGACCTCTTAGTAGCTACATATATTACATGTATGGCTTGATTATTATTGATTTCAACCCAAAAATCATATTTTATCACAAGAATCAAATAGTATTTCAATGAGAAATGTGATCAGGCAGAGGTAAATAGTAAATTGTAAACATATTTACTGTCCATATTGTTTGTGAGAAAATGCCGACATCAGTTAGGTAGTTTTACAACAAAAGTTGTTTCTCATTTTAAAAACCCAAGACGACTTGAAACTTAGGGTTATAAACCTTATGTCATCCCACTTTTGTGTAAGCTTCATTCAGACTTAGGCAACATCTGCCCTCTGCGGGTCTGGAAGAATATCACTGCAGTACACATGCGCCAACCACAACCATCTACATNTCGACTGCGTCAAGATCATTGACTAGATATATCCAGTAGGTGGCGTGTGTGTAAACTTTGTCCTTTCAATTTCTTCTGCTCAAAATAATAAATATCAATAGTTCCGGAAACCTTTTCTCCTCTATATTTGTTCAAGATTAATGCTATATTGCTACAGACCCCCTAACAGGTCAGGGTGGGAGAATATTTTTTGGAAAAGTTTTATGTTCCCTTGCATTATTATTGATTGGGAGGCAGCATGAGGTTCAGAGGGCTAAGTCTCAGCGCCTGTGATCAGAAGGTCGCCAGATCAGGCCCGGCCTCAGCAAATCTGCAGGTCCTTGAGCAAGACCCTTAACCCCCAGCTCCCTGGATGCTGCTATGGGTGACTGCCCTTTTCGGCCAGCTTGCTCTCACCTACAGAGAGCAAGTTGAGAAAGGCTTAAAGAGAATTTCCCCAAGGGGATCAATAAAGTATCAATAATTATTTCCAATAATAATACTTTTGCGATCCCTCACAATAGTTTTCCGTTACAAATAACAACTGTACAGTGTCCGTTTAAAGTACAAAACATAGAATTAATCGACTAATAAGTATAAGCATAAACGATACAGACATGGCCAGTTGCGTGTGCTTTAAGTATTAAACTATGGGGGGCAATGCACACCATGTAACTTTCATATATGTGTTTTTATATGTACTTATTAATGGCTGCACTGTGTCCATTCACCACCAATAACTGTAAACAAGACAGCTGGGCTATTGAACATGAAGTGCACACGCAGACATTATTTAGGTTTATCCTTGCCATCACAGTGCAGCAAATACTGTAGCAAGTGAGCAAGTGTAGTGGGATCGCAAAACTATTTAAAAAAAATATTTTCCCAACCTGATCTCTTAGTGGCTACATATATTCCATGTATGGCTTGATTATTATTGATTTCAACCCAAAAAATAATATTTTATCACAAGAATCGAATAGTATTTCAATGAGAAATGTGATCAGGCAGAGGTAAATCGTAAATTGTAAACATATTTACTGTCCATATTGTTTGTGAGACAATGCCGACATCAGTTAGGTAGTTTTACAACAAAAGTTGTTTCTCATTTTAAAAACCCAAGACGACTTGAAACTTAGGGTTATAAACCTTATGTCATCCCACTTTTGTGTAAGCTTCATTCAGACTTAGGCAACATCTGCCCTCTGCGGGTCTGGAAGAATATCACTGCAGTACACATGCGCCAACCACAACCATCTACATTCATGGTATGAACACAAGCTTCCGCGCAGACGACCGTCCCCAGACGTACACAAGTACACGAAAGCGCACGTGGAAGGCATAAAGTATGAACTAGGTTTAACATTTATAGTCCTAGTTTAGCTAGGTGGCTGGCCTACACTCACAGGTAGAACTTAGGAATATTTGCCACAAGGGCAAACTAGGGTAGTTAATTAAAAATGTAGTCTGACAGGCATGTTTTTTTACTGGCCAGCGGGGTAGTGCTCAGATTTTGGTACTGAGCCTTTATTAAAAATACTCGCCATGGGCGAGTGGGTGGGGTTTAATTTACAGTCCTGCCTACACTTGCAAGGGACCACAATGTCTGCTGTCTGCTGTGACACACAGAAGGATTTAGTGTAGCTAAACTAGCTAGTTATGTTAAAAAAAATCAGGGAAGTCACCTGCTGGCTGGCTTTGGAGGATTTTCCTCTGTGGTCTATCCAGGAAAAACGGAACCGGACCACAAATGCACTTCCACTTTGGAACAAGTCAGTCAGCCTCAAAGTGCAAAAACGCAAAAAAAAAACTGGGAAAATAATAGTGTTTTTTTAAATGTTTTTACATTTTCTTAATACTGCTGTGCACTTAAAGCCAGCAGCTACTCTGTTTATTAACACGCTTGATTATGTCAAACCAGTGCTACTGCAAGTCTTGTGTGCAATTTCCAGGATGCAAGTCGGCACCTTTGCACCTGTGTAGGACTGGGTGATATGGGCCCATTCCATTTAGCAGAATGGCGATATACCATATTTATCTTAACATTTTCTCCCATAAAGTAATAACAAAGAAACCGGTTCCAAGTCAAAACCAAATGTCCCCAATGTCACACAGACACTTTTATTAACAGACAGCCATATATGTGCATGAAAAAAATTGGCTCAAAAATAAACTACCGGCATATATTATTTTATAATTTTAAATCAATATGAATTATATTGATATAAACCATATTGTATCATCCCATATCTCATATGAAAATATATCAATACATCTTAAAAACTCGATATATCGCCCAATGCTACACCTGTGAATAAACTGGTAGGGGATTTACTCACGTTAGGGTAAAGGGGATAGTGGGGATTTTTCCGGAGCTGCTGAGTGGAACTGCCACACCAGTCTTCAAAGACATGCAAATTAGCCTTTCCCATATACTGCAGCAGGAAAAAGGAAGAAGGAGATATTTTTGTTACCTTTAAATGAGCAGGACCAAAGAACACATGTTACAATACCCAGAAGAACCAGATGTAATAATTGCTATGAAGTTATACCAAGTTAAAGCCATTTGACTACAGCAATGTAACAAATGCTTTGACTGCACATCGGTGCAGATTCATAGTGTGTAATGCTTATAAACCGATTAGGAAATATGAGATGTACAACTTCCTCATTGTGTACAAGGGGGACATGAAGAACCTGTTCAGTATGTGAGTTATGGCACAAATATCCTGCAAGACAGATATGCTTTACGATAAAGTGTGGCTAAAACCCTGCTGCTGCCGATCAGACAGAGGGTATCCCAACATGTTCACTGCGTGGACTGCTAGCGTGATAGCGACCTGAAGCGAGGTGTGTTGATGACGCAGGGACCGTTTGTGCCCATAGGGGGCTCCCCGGGTTGTCCGAAAGAGAGGTGGGGGGGGGGACATGGAATTCATACCTCGGGCTTCCAAGGCCGTGACCTGTTGGCCTCTCGCTGGTGACTGCCATTTCTTTTGTCTCTGAAGACCTGAACATATAAGAAAAGAGAACTGGAAAAAGACAGAACCTGCACGTTGATAGATACAGTCTGGACCCCCTGCCACATTCTACAGGCCATTCTAGCCACTTTGCCGGGTTCCAACAAATCAGACATCGGTATTTCCATGCAACAGTTAGTTGCTTGCCAGTCACTTCTGCTAGAATGCACAACGCCTCGTCCTTAGAAATGAAAGAAAGACTAGAACTGTCACTTTTTAAACTCAGAACTTGGTCCACCTTACCTCCTCCTTTGAAATATCCTTTTGCTTCGCACCTGAGGTGGTGGGGGAGAAAAAAATAAATAAAATCAACAAAAACACAACTGACAGCAATATAAACACCAGACAAATCTTTGCTCTCAAATATACATTTCTGAAGTGTCAGGAAATTTCCTTCGCGAAGTGATGCCCGTAAAGGAATCCTATGGTCATTTAACTTCTGAACAACTGGGAAGAAACAACGCTTGTGTTACTGATGACCACTTGTATGGGAATTTTCATCAGTACAGGTCAAGGATATTTCATACATCTTCTCAAATCAATCATCTGCAGGTTATCGGCCAGCATAACGCATAAATATGCACAGAGAACACAGGCTTGTCAGGTAAGAGGAAACACATGGAATGTGTTAAAAACCAGAACAAGTTAAACATAATTCATACAAATATAGGGCACTTGCAGCACAGTGCTATCCGAATCCTAGCAGCTCTGTATCCACCTTTTGACTATATTCCAACAATTCTGACATGCTTTTTGTCACACCCCGATCGTGCCGGTCCTCCTGTGCCACGCCCCCCTCGTTAACTTCATGTCGATTCCCAGTGTTTCACAGCGGTTTTCAATTGTCTGTATTAGTTCGATGTATTTAAGTCCACGTCAGAGCTTGTTTCCCTAGTTCTGTCATTGCAGTGCCGTGGTTTCCCCTGTTATGCCCTTGCGTTCTCCCATTAAACCCTTTTATTTAACCCCGTTCCTGCTCTCGTTCGCCTGTTTCCCTGGTCGTGTCCTACGCCGTGCGACACTTTTCACCACAGCGCCCCCCAGCCAACCTGGGACTATATTCCCATCGGTTGAGGGAGGAGCCACTCCCAGCAGACACCGTCACATAAAACTGTGGGCTCTCAAGGTATTCCAAAGTCCAGCTGAAGGAGAAAGAGGGCCTTTAATTACCTCCCCCACCATGGGAGACACCAAGGGGAAGACACAGCGGCCTGCAGGGACGGTCCCGGCAGCCACGCTAGCATAGCCCAACCTCAAACACAAACACACAGGTCTCCTGCAGCAGAAGTGTTAGCATGTAAACAAAGTATGTTTCACCATTAAAAAAACATATTAGGGATTCGAGGAGCGTTAGCTCCCCATTATTATTATTATTATAATTATTATTATTAGGGCTCGAGGTGTAATGGGATGCCACCCCCCACCCCCATGCGAAAAAAAAATGACAAAAACCAACTCCACCCCCCCTAAAAATACCGACTATTTCAGGGCAGTCTCAGAAACACAATCTGGACTGCATGATGAGCAATACACCTCGCTTGGCAAAATTTATCAAGGACACACACACACACACACACACACACACACACACGCACACACACGCGCACGCACACGCACAAACACACACACAAAGATTTGACCCCCACCATGATCCATCCGCCTATTTTTACAGCAATAAAATCAACACAAACACTTTTTGTTTAAATCATAATATCCGTAAGATGTACAGAAGAGAATCTTAAATAGGCTTACAATTCTTAAGGATGGTTTTCAAAAGTTCTCCCTTGAACTGAATAATTGAGTGCAGTGCCGACCAGTACATCAAATACTGGCTATCATGCTATACATAAACCAGTAAATAAGCAAAGCAATAACACTCCAATGAAGAAACTAAAATTTATACGGAATGGCCAGGAGCTCAAAAAAAAAAAAAAGAACCATAAAGTAATAAAATTATAATCCAAGGAACTACTGCCTACCTAACTGCAAGGGGCTGCTACTGTATAGATCTTGAGCCACTTGAAAGCAGATCATATTTGGCCCACAGCCCAGAACAACCCAAATATGTTCCAAATATTTTTAATTGTTCTCACTCCCCGCCCCCCTTTACAGGTCCCTATCTAATACTTAGGCAAGACAGATATGCTGTATTGAACCTGAGCAGGTCATTCTGGAAAAACGAAACCCTAACACAAAGTGAGGAAGCCTGAATTAACCAGCAAACCCAACAAACACGAAACACTCACAGATTTTTATATTAAGAATACATACATAATTGTATATAAACATGTGTATGTATTAAATTATGCAAACATTTGTACTCTAATTTAGGGGACGGGATGATGCAGCATGCGTTTTCAATTAAAAATGTTTAATGTGGCAATAAGTGCTTTCTTACTAATAAGTGCCATTGAGTGAGAGGAGATTAAAGAAAGGTGTAATGTTTTTGCCCTGCCCTTTAGACTTTGTGCTGTAGAAAATGACCCTGTAATGGCACTTTACAGGAATCCCATCAGGCTGGTTTCCGGTTCCCTCTGGTTTGTGAATTGTAAGGCAGTTCCTTGTTTACTTTGCGTCAAATCCAGAGCAACCAGTATAAAAGCGGTCAGGTCGAAACACAGTCCAGGTTTTTGCTCCCCCCCAGCTCCCTACACACCTGCACCAGGTATTCAGTGTTTTTGCTTGTTTGGATCAGTTGTGCTGGAGGGAGCAAAAATGTGGACCTGCTAGGGGTCCCTGAAGACTGGGTGGTGAAACACTGCCCTAGAGTATCCAGGAAAGATTTAATCCTGCTACATTAATCATCCATCCATCCATCATTCAGTATCTTAGAAAAGGGCTCTGACAAATTGGCACTACTGACAGCAAGGAGAGTGTAATCTAGTCAGAATGAGCCGAAAACTTCAAAATACAGTGAAAGCAGCAGTCTGACAGATTTCAGCTGTGACGATGGGCCCAATCTTGGGCTCCTCCTGCCTGTGGCTTCTGAAGGTGACCATTAAAACGGGAGCAAGACCACAGATGGTCAGAAGCAACCTGCAGGGAGGTGCGGGTATGGCTGCACGATTTAGAAAGAAAATGTGACTCAGGAGTCTTTTGCTTAGAATTGAGATCACGATTATCTGCAACGATTTTTTTTCCTTGAATTTAAAACATTTATTGCACTCATTAAACTGCAAAAGGAGACCACAATAAAACATGACTGTGCCAAACATAACTCACCCAGGACCGACATATCAACAACTGACAACAGAAAGGAAATGTTCAATTGGCCATTCAGTCAGGGTAACCAAAACAGCCACACCAAAAGGTGATTTTTAATTTTGAAAAAGAATAATTAAAACAGCAACACTTGATTTTTATCACCTGTGAGAGTAAAAATGTTTTAGGGAAACTTGATCTCCCTGCGCTATAATGTCCATATACAGAATTGAAAGGAAGAAAAAGCCTGTTTTACGCTCCGTGTCGGGCGAGCGGAGAATCAGGCGAGAGAGCCGTGAATACTATAACACGGGGGTTTATTCAGGGCAGACAGCAACGAACAGTAAACATCACCAATGACAGATCTAGGGAAACTCACGCA